TTTTTATCAAATGGATGTCAGAAATTGTATTTAAGCGAATATGCCCCCGTCAGCTACTATTTCATATATACACACACACTCTTATATCTTGTTGTCAGTATTCTTGCTTTCATTAGAATTATCCTTGAATTTGTTTAGTCGCCTATTTTCTTTGTGTCCTTAAATGTCTTTTTAACTTTTCCGTTAAATATACCAGTGTTATGAGGGGGTTGCAAAAAAGTAATACCGTTCTAGTAGTGAATGTGGTATTCCTTCCTTCCTTTGTTAGAAAAACAACCATATTTATTAACTGTCAATATTTCTTTGTGCCGGAACTAGATATCACGATATGGAGGTCATGACATCACAATAGACAAAGCGGCGTGGGACAACATTGGGGGACCTGGTGAAGGAGACTGAACTTAAAAAAAAAAATGTAAATGTAGTTACTTGCGGATATACCTTAAAATTATGAATAGTGTTTCCGCCTTACCGAAGTAGACGCTTCTGGGTGCGTAGGAAGCCCAATCCGAGATCTCCGCCTTCATATGGACAGACGGACATGGCTAAATCGACTCTGCTGGTGATCCGGATCAAGAATATATATACTTTATAGGGATGGATACGCATCCTTTTACCTGCTACATACTTTCCGAACCTTTTACTCTTCGAGTAAAGGCTATAGTTACATACTTTCCAACGAATTTAATAATTTGGGCTTCATGTAACTATTGGCTATTCCCAATACTCAAGAGACCACTCCGGGGAACTCGTTTCGGGTCGATTGAGGAGATATAAGAAAAGGGACTAGTTGCCATGTTTCGAGGATTAGAAGGACGTTGCATAAGTTTTCTATTGGACGGACGATTTAAAGTGGATGATATTGAAATAGAATTTAGGTACAGTGAAGCGTCCTTTAATATCGTAAAAACTCATACAAAAAAAAGAGACATGTACCATTATAAAGTTACCGTCCCAACGAACCAAACAAGCCATATTCATTATCAATTGAAAGATAGATTTAATTTTATTTATAATAGCTTTGCATTGTTAGGCTGGTAACCCACTACCCTTATAAAATTATACATCCAAATTACTGCCGTTTCGATTACAAGCGATGTGGCTATGTTCTCTCTTCAATCAAGTACCCAAAATTAAGTGTAGGCGTTGCCAGACCCTTGTGCGATAATTTGTATCGATATAGATTGGAGGGATCCCGATATCGAAGTAGTTAATTTCAAATATAAACAACTCAAATTAATAAACAGTGCTCTTCCCGAACCTCCTCACAGGGCTTAAAGATTTAGCTTTCAAATTACAAATCTGATGATATAGGAAGGGGGCCAATTTATGAATTGGACAACGATAAGTTCCTTTGGTAGCTTTGATATCAGCAACGCAGACTCGACCATCTTTGCCTGGAATCGCTACGACCACACGAGTGTTGTCTTCATGAACGATTACAAGCTAACCCTCCTGAATCTTTGGGAAGCCATTTGTCCACTTTCCACTCTCCTGGAGTGTGCATATGTAGTCGCGCTGTCAAACATTCCAAAAGCGCTGTTTAATGTAGGTAATTCTTAGGAACCATCGACATACTTGGCTTCCTTTTGGCGATCATCCTTGGAATGGTACATGAGCGCTGGCTAATGGAGTTCCAATAAACAGGTGTGCCAGGGTAACTGCCATGGTATCATTGGGATCGTCAGATGCCGGTGAAATTGGCCAAAAGAATTTTATCAGAATGCCTCGGCAAACGACGAAGCTTTTGATGCAAAGTAGAAACGCATTGGTTGAAATCTCCGATACGAATTCGATATGAACGAATATGGCACAATACGTTTTGTAGCGGGCCATGCCTCTGATCCTCTATGAAGAACGGGCCGCGGAAGTCAACTCCCGACACTAGGAATAGTCGACCACCTTGCAACCGATCTGCATGCAGGCCTCCCATAACCTCTTTGAGCAAACGAGGCAAGAAATGGATGCACGTTAAGCAGCATCGTACAGTTGTTCGAAGCAGTGAGCGTGCGTTTATTATCCTAAGTTTTTCGAAAAAGTGACATCAAATGCTTGGGTCCATCGTGAAGATTGATTTTATGTTAAAATTCCACATAAAGCCTGGTGATTGAATATGTTCTGGGCAACAAGGCCGGAGATTACCCGTCGATCGGTATGTCAGCCTGTGCCAGCCTACCACCCACCTTCATCACACACAGTTCAACGTCAATGTAAGCCGAATTTTGTAAGAATGGCGTGAGTCGTCGAAAACATGGCTGCAGATCCAAATTTCCTTTCACAGATAAGATTTCGGATGCGTGTGCTTCTTGCTGAATTTTCGAAACGATTTTTCAGAAAGTCAGATTCATTTTGGTTGCAGGCAAATGGAGTACATGAATCAAAAACAATGCGAAGTACTCTGGTGTATGACGACCAAATAGAGATGAGGTCTCTCAAGATTAAATTTGTTTCTGTTAGATCTACTGTTTTGCAGAGTAGTGTAGGCTAATTACATTCGTTTATTGGTAATGGTAGCTTGATATGTTGACGTGGCCAGTTTTCTGGTGAGTGCAGCTGAAATTGTGGTCCTGAGAACCAAATTTATAAGATCATATCCGTGGTGCAACCCAGTTTGGCTAGTAGTCGAACGATGTCATTCTTCTTGAGCTGCAATTCCTTAATATCGTCTGCTCCCGTTATGTCCCAGAGATTCATACTCCTTCAAGAACAGAACATATGCTGCCATGAGTCTCGACGGCACTCCAGTGAACTAAATCTGGTTAGTGCATTCCTGTGCACGTATCCAAGTCTAACAGAACTCGCCTTGAATGGCAACCTGACCTGTATTCGAACAGTTTCCGTTCGAGGTACTGCCTGCCTACTGAGTGAGGTGACACTGAAGAATCTCACTTGGTTCACATGAGTTTAAGTGGCCGCCAACAATCGATCCGTACGCTGTATTAAGTAGCGTTGGTTTCCCTTCGCCGAGCATGATCTTTCCTTCCCGAATCGCATCGAAGAATCCCTCGGTATTAAACTAGACATGAATTTCGTTTGAACTAAAAAAAGCTGGGGATCTGCTAAGACAATGTCCAAAGGTTTGTCCCAGCAAGATGCATCTTACGAATGCACAAACCTTCTTTGTTACGGAAAAGCTGGAAGACCATTCGAAAGAGATCCGAGGTTCCGCTAACTTCCTCATACACTCGACGTCGCTCTAACTGCAATTGCATTGCAGTTTCCTCTGTGATGAAACTCACCTCCAAGCATGAGTCGAGTAAGACTCGGACAAGATGAAGTTGTTCTTTCCTGTCCATTCCGTTGGAATAACGCCTTGCCGATTGCTGCGTGGAAGTAGTGTACTGCTAGTTGTTGATTGCTGCCCGTGGGTGAGTTTGTGTAACAGCGTGTGATGTGCTTATTCGCAGACCTTGCATTTGAACTTTGATGGTCAGTATTTTAATTTATGTCCCTTGCTTAAGTAATTAATGCAAGCGCCTGCAGTCCTGACCGCGACATAGCGGTATTGAATCGACAGCTTGGTGATAAAGTGCTTAAGAATGTCTTCGAAGCTTGTGACTGCTTGGGGTTCTGTGTTGTACTGTGATCCAGAGGTCGGTGGCCTTCCAGAATTTGAAGAATGGTGCAACAATCATCCCACGTTGCCAATTTCTCTTAGTCTTGGGTTTCATCGTTCTTTGTTTCAGTTTCGTGTTCGACCTTTGACAGAAGAATGTAGTTAATATTGCCATTCATGACCTGTTCCGCAGATCCGGTGAAAAGTAATGATCCTCGTATTGCTATGCATTGTCGATCAGCCTTTGAAATGCTGAGGAGCTTGGATGTTTGGATATGCAATCTGAATAGATTAGAACGTCATTGTCATAGCGCGCGTCTAGACGTTCTAAAGCCTTTTTGTAGTTGTTCTCCGTAACCTGAAAGGATTGTACACCCTCGAGTACCGAACCTGACAAAAAAACTTTGATCGTTATGCACTAGGTTTAGGGATGAGCTTTTGAACCGTTTGAATCCTGCATATTTGCCGCCGGAACCTGGTTGGTTCGGGAACCTGCTTGGGTGAGCTGGCCCGACGGCCGTGGTAACGTTGAGCTTGTCGGTAGGTTTCCGTCCACTTAGGATGCTTTTGGACTGTAGTAAAGAGGAGATACTAATTTCATATATAAGCAACTCAAATTAATATATTGTTCTATTCCAGAACAACTTTCCACTCAATGAACCTTCAGCTACTTGGCAGCTAAAAAGGAGCTTGAGGACCCGCTGACGGAGTGACGCCGAGGAACTATGTTTATATGTACATAAGTTGCTTGATTCATATAATATTTTATAATATTAATATTATTAAGAAGAGCCAAAAAACAGCTAGAGAAAAGCTAGAGGATCCATCACCAGCCATTGCAAGCATTCTGGGCGACTTCCTGCACCACAAGTAGAACAACTTCATTCCCAGAACTGGGCAGCATGCGTCGTGAAGAAGCTGCCAAGGTGGAGAATAAGATGACCAAGCTTTAAACTACTACTTTATATGAAAATAACTTCATTGCAATTATTTTTATTTGATTGTCTTTATACACCAGCAGACTCATCATTTTCAATTGCTTAATTAGGCTGTTTTCTGCTCACTCACATCGACGAAATCCACGAGCTAACCACTGGAGAGAGCGAGTGGAAAATAGGCGGCTAACGCCTTTCATCGTGTCAGCTTTTCACCGCGGTACTCAGATAAGATAAGGAAATACCACAAAAAATACAAGATTTCGTGAGTGAATTTCGATGCACGCCGTTAGCCGCAGCGCAAAGATTAAAGCCTAGTATCGGCAAAAAGTTTATCTAGTCGATAAGTCTTAATCTTTGTAGTGTGACTGACGTTTTCAAAGTTCACCCGCAATAGCATGGTCTTACTGTCATGTAAAAAAAAACAAATCAATTTTAGAAATTTAACAAAGTCGAATCTGCTGGTGCACAAAAAAATTAAAATATAAGTAAGTGATATGTTCCTCGGATGTTTTTATTTATGTAAATTAATAGCTTAGTGGATCCTTCTCGTCTCGCGGATGCTTCTCCATCCTCTCCGCGCTATCCGCAATTCAGCTCCGATTCCAAATATTCCAGCATGGGAGCCTGATTGGGTTGTTCCGTTGATGCTGCAGAAATTCGCCTAGCAATCTGACTGGTCCGACAGCGGTCTTTTAGCGGGCGGACTTTTTTTCTCCTCCCTCTCTCTCCAGCACGTCTTCTCTTCAAGTGGCAAGTAGCTAGTGGTGGTGGAGTCCAACGATTCCCCAATGAACAGATCGGAAATCGTATTACTGGTGGCCCCGCTATAAAGATACTTAAATTCGTAAAACGTAACCAAATTCTTTTGGCCAGAACGTACTTTCCTTGCGATGACACGTGCGGTAGGGTATGCTCCTTCCCACTGGTATTCTCTAGTGGATCCCCTCCAGCTCCTCCAGATGGACACTAATAATCAAAACAAAATCACATTTTAATGTTTTAAATTTATTAAAAAATGTGGGTGGGTCAAAATTGACCGTTCTAGCGTTATGGGCGTTAGAATCAACATGCTATAGTGATCCTGATCAAGAATATATATACTTTATAGGGTCGGAAACGTATCCTACTACCTCTTACATACTCTCCGACGAATCTAGTATACCCTTTAACTCTACGAGTAAAAGGTATAATGAAATCTAATATACCATGCACTTTGTCCAATGTTGCTTGTTTGATTCGTATGGACGGCAACTTTAAACTGGCACACGTCTCGATTAGTCGTCGGACTTTTTTCGAGTTTTTCGATATCAACAGAAGCCTTACATTCACTTAGGAACAGAATTACTGAGAGTGGGGATTCTTGAGGAATGCCGCTGTGTTGTGGGCGGGTAAAGGAAGAGTGGTTGTTAGCATAGACTTTGATTTTTCTGTTGGCCATACAATTATTCCAGTAAATTATAATTTTATGGACTATTGTCCATGACAACAATTCATCGACAATAGAATGGACTCGAATTTCATCAAACGTTTTTGTAAAACAGACGCCTTACTGTCACTAAATTGTTGACAAATTTCACATTTTAAAAGTTGGCGGAGTTGTAGCTCACAGTATACTCAACGTAGCCTATTCCATTACTCAGCAAAATTAAAGGGTGACATTATAGATGCAAGCTAAAATTTGTATAACCTTAATTGGTTAATTGCAACTCGAGCTCGTCATGGAAAGTAACCTCGGAACGAATCGCAGTGATCGGTACTGTGTATTAATTAAGAAAATCTCTATGTTCTGAGTCAAATTTTAATTCTTCACCTGTAACGATCTTACAAACGTCTTGTGAAACACCGCGATTGTGTTTTTCAAAATTCAAACAAGTTGTTTAGAGCTTTTATCGATTAAAGTCCCACATTTTTTTGGAAAAAGTCCGTTTCACTCTAATTTGCCTAGAAGAGACCTAGGCCTGAAACTAAATTCATATAAAGCGTTATCCCGGAATCATGTCCACCTCAAGGCACTTGAAATCGATATTGTATTAACTGAAATGTATTAGTCTCGTCAATATTTATCAATTGACCCCAAAAAAAAGTTTGCCACGCCCACTCTAATGCCCCTAACGCCGAAATCTGTCTACCGCAAACATACCCATTTATTGCGATCACGGGTAGGTGGCGCACTACAATCTCGCATTGCTGCTTGCGTATCTCCATTTCCCTTTGGTCCTTTAGCCAAGTAACGGGTATCAGATAGTCGAGGTACTCGACTGTAGCGTTCTTACGATACTACTTTACAATACTTTTGTCTACACACATTTCTTAATATAAACAATTGTTCATAGAATTCGTCCCAATACTTTTTTGAACTATCTGAAATATTTATTTTTTTAACCGAATTGTTAGCGTGTGTTGTTTGAGATTCCATTGGGGAACAACCGGACTCCACCACCACCAGCTTCTTGGAAGCTAAAGCTGCAGGACGTTTTGGCTTCTACAGGGTGGGGGAAAAGAGAACGCCCGTTAAGGTACAGCTGGAGGATTCGTTAACCAGCCATTGCCAGGATGCTGGGCGACTTCCTGCAGCATCAGCGGAACGACCCCGTTTCCAATTCGGCTCCCACTCCTTCAAGGCCCATGTTGACATATTGCGAATCGGAGCTGGGCTGCAAATGGCGCAGAGAAAATGGCGAAGCATCCGTGACAAGAGAAGGAAGCTAAACTACTAATTAACTTAAATAAAAACATCCTTTTTTTGTACCAGCAGATTCATCTTTTTAAAATCCTTCAATTTGTTGTTTGTTAATAAAACAAACCCAGCTCCTTGACAATTTTGGTGGCTATCGATAACTTAGCCAAGCGCTCCCACCCAACCAAGGATGCCAGTGGAATTCTGGGGCATCACCCATTCTCGGTCGGCCGGATGCGCTCCTCACGACTGCGACGGTTCCATCTCCCCCACACGGAAAAATCACTCACACGTTTCGGGTTTTGCAGACATTTAATGAACATGGTAAGTATAATCATTTATATTGGCTCCTCTTAACCGATCTATCTTTCTTCAGCCTTCAATACCAAAACTTGGCCGTCGTATTTAATATTTACGCAGTTAAAGCTGAGAATTCGTTCCCTGGAAAAGGCTACAGGCGCTGTGGAAGGTTATCCTCTACCAACCACGTATTGGTAGAGCTCGCATAGAAACACAGCACACAAAAGGGACACACGCAATGCGCGCGTGTCGAGTCACATAATCCTGAGGAGCTCCTGGGGAAAAAATGGACAGGCCAAACCGTACGTAACCGGCGTAAAAATATACCACTGAAACTAATAATCGGGACCCTTTTCTTCTAGTCAAACGACGAGGACAACTAATGCTCTCGGGTCTTATTCAGGATACATGTACAATTAAACAAAGGAATATATAGTAACGAAGATAAGCATGTAATTAACTAAAAAAAGGAAAACTACGGTGAGTTGCGCAAGGCCAGTCCAAGGTTCGGCCGCCCGACACATTGGCGGTACGTCTCAACGCTGCGACACGACGGCTTGAAGCACCCAAGACGATGTGGACGTAACAGTCTGAAACGGACTCACCGGAAAATGCTGGATTGCGTCGGTGTCGACTAAGGAAGGCGGTTATAGCTGGACTTCTAAGCGGGTCGAACGGACACCGGTTGCCGCCAGCCAAGTCGTGACTCGTATGTAGGGCGAAATCGCGCAGAAATCCGTGGAACTCCCAAATAAATATCCCGGGGCCCTTTGTATTGGGACACCGACAGGCCTAGGGATGATTATTTTTAAGTAAAAGAACTAACGTGTTAAATTTCCTAACACTTACTTCTTTTTAGTTTTAGGCACAAAACTTATCTCGGAACATCCAGATTGCCCGCCAGATTCATCCCGCTGGTGCCACTATCGCCCTATCGACCTAACCTATCAATAGATTCCCTCCCATTATCGACTCTAAGTGTAACATCAACCAAAGATTTCGAGAGGCGCTATCCGGAGTTTCAGCAGAACGACGAAATAATTGGTAGCCTTGGAGATACGATGGGACTCAACACGGCAATGATACCATCCTGCAGATCGATCGGCGCCTTACGCGGGGCCCACGCATGGCGGGAAGTATAGCTGTTGTGATCGCTGTGCTACTATACATTGTTTTTAAGTCTTTCAGTTCACAACCCAGACCGCGGCCGTGGAGGTCCTCCAGCAAGTATGCATTGCTGCCGACGGATTTGACCACCCTGGCTTTAAGGAACTTCCGTGCAAACTTGGCGTTAAAGGATTTGCTGAAATTACTCAGCACGAAGTTGCGGCGGAAGATTTCTTGGCCTGGCTACCTCGCAAACCCGGACGTAATCACGCACATGGATAGTCATTCCTGGCCATAGAACTGGCGTCGCAGAGTCTCCAAGGTCCTCGTCATTTCACCATGGCCAGCCTTGGGGTCCGAATGAGCAAGCTTTGTCAGGCTGTGCGTCAGGCTTTGCGGGATCCACAGCTTCCATTCGGATCGTCTATTTTCGGATTACCCATGCGCTTGAAGATTAATCCACCGTCCACCTTGAGGTCCGGTAAGTGGTCCGTGTTGGACTCCACGTCTTGCACTAACTCCGTGTAATCCTCCGCAGCAAAATCGGTCATCTCGAATCCCAGAAAATCTGTCGGATCTATATATAGAGTATATAGAGCATCGGAGTATATAGAGTATTGGCGACTACGTTCTCGCTGCCTTTACGTGGTTCAAGTGCAGAAATCGTAACCCTGCAGCTGGAGAGACCACATTGTGATCCTTCATCTTCGTGATCAGGGCGGCCACCAGACCATCCTTTTCCGTGACCGAGTAGTTCACCTGGTGTTTGTTCATCTTGGCCGAGAAAAGCAAGATAGATTGCTCGTCTCCGTCCTGGTTCCCCTGAAACAATACCGCGCCGACGCCGGTGCGCTCGTCAAGGCCAGCCTCAGGTCATCCACTGCCTGTGTGGCGCTGCGACTTAAGGAAAACTTTGTGTTTCCAGCCTTCTTTAAGGGGTTATACACCTTTTTTATTTTCAAAAAATCGAAAATTTTTTTATTGCTTTATCTTAAAGAACAACTCCTTGAGAACATTTTCCCAAATTTGCATAGAGATTCGAGCAGTAGAAAAAAAGTTACAGGGCTCCTAACCGGGCACCTCGTCGCGCGCATAAACTAAACTTGAAACTTTAAACGCGAATATCTCGAAATGGTGCTTCTTGAAAAATGACTTTGCGGTGATATGGATTGGCAGAAAACTACTGAACCGGTTTACTTCAAATTTTTTTTTAAATGTTCGTAATGAAATTTTTCTGTGCTTAAACGATCGACTTTTCACGCACAAACTTTTTTTTGCCGAAATGCATTTTTTAGTGAAATTTCTAGCGACCAAAAAGTTCATTTTTAGCATAAAATGTTCCCGTATGCACAAAAAAACAAGGAAGAACGCTATAGTCGAGTACCTCGACTATCAGATACCCGTTACTCAAAGGGAAATGGAGATATGCAAGCAGCAAAGCGAGATTAAAATGCGCCACCTACCGGCGGTAGACAGATTTAAGCGTTAAGGGCGTTAGAGTGGGCGTGGATTTATTTTTGGATCAATCGATAGGTATTGACGACACCAATACATTTCAGTTAAAATTTTTTATCTAGCATGCAAATTGTGGGCGTCACAGGTTTTCGCGGTTTGTGGGCGTTTAAGTGGGCGTGGCAAACTTTTTTTAGGTCAATCGATAGGTATTGATGAGAACAATACACTTCAGTTAAAATGTTATATCTAGCATCAAAACTGTAGGAGTTACAGTTTTGGGCGGTTTGTGGGCGTTAGAGTGGGCGTGGCAGTCTACTGAAACAAACTTGCGCTGCGTAAGAAGCTCAGGAATCTGTACGCCAAATCTCAATAGCCTAGCTTTCATAGTTTCCGAGATCTCAGCGTTCATCCGGACAGACAGACGGACAGACGGACATGGCTAGATCGACTCGGCTAGTGATCCTGATCAAGAATATATATACTTTATGGGGTCGGAAACGCTTCCTTCTGCCTGTTACATACTTTCCGACGAATCTAGTATACCCTTTTACTCTACGAGTAACGGGTATAAAAATATTAAAAACGATCGTTCAAGCACACTAAACTAATGAAATTTGTTTAATTTTATGGTTTCAGTTGACCTGTTCGACCTGGGGAAGTATCACCGCAAGGCTCTTCAAAAAAAGGCCTCTAAGGGAAACAGCCACCCCTTAAAAACTATTTAATATTTTTCCACGAAATTTTGCACAAACATTGTTAATAAAGTGTACTATCAAAAAATTAAAACATACAAACATGAAATAATTGCTACATACCTAAAAAAAAATCCAAACTTTCCTCTT